GAATTATAAATATGTAATTAAAAGTATTTAAGTAGAAAAGATACTATGAATCATAAAACTATAATGAAATATATTATTAACCCATACTTTGGATTTGTAAAAGAGTCGATGTAAGACATTCTACACTACATAAGAATGTCAAAACACATACAGAGAGAGCAAAATCGCAGCATAAAATTTGTCCAAGTTGCTTTTCTTTTTGACACTTTTCGTTTCTGAGAGTTAATTTGATTAAACTTTGAAGTTAAATTGGATTAGAATAACTAAAAAAATTTAAATTTAAATTATAGATATTCAAAAATATATAAAAGAAAAAAAATTGTATTTGTTCCTATATCAATATGATGAATCGAAAAAAGTTCATAAGCCTTTTTTTAAAATAAAAAATTCTGGGAAGGGGAGTTAAGGGAAAATGTGGAGAGAATTATAAAAGGAAGCTGACTGTCACCAATAAAGTAAGAGTTAAGTAGTCAACCAATCGAACTACTAAGAGAATTATAAAGGGGGTTTATTTGGCAGAAAGTTATACTCACCAATCATCTCCCTCTGTCCCTAATTACTTGTCCTATTTTTTTTTTTAGTTGTCTCTAATTACTTGTCCTATTTTTTTTTTTAGTTGTCTCTAATTACTTGTCCATTTTTTTTTTAGTTGTCTCTAATTACTTGTCCATTTTGACAAATCAAGAAAAGACAATTTCTTTTTACCTATTACCTGAATTAATTACTTTGAAAAAGGTAGAACTTCTTGAAAATCTTAAGTTTTTAATTCATGCACTTCATAATTAATAGGGGTAAAATGATAAACTCACTATGTCAATAAATGTTTTCTTAATAGGTGTGTCAATTCAAAAGTGGACATGTAATTAGGGACAGAGAAAGTACCTTTTAAGTATATATAGTAGATATTACACCTCTTTGGCTTCTTTATGTATCTAGTTTTTCATATTTTGAATCTTTTAATGAAAATTCTGACACTGTCACTAGTAGAGAGGGATACAAACTGAAAGTGATAATAAGAAATTTATTATTTATTTCCAAAGGGCACACAAAGAGGTGTCATTCCAACAATGAGCAATCCAAAACAAATCACAACCTTGCACCTAACAAGATGTTTAGTGCATAAACAAATAGAACATCAGAAATTGCTAAACAAATGAATATCAAAAACACAAAAGGCAGAGAACCATTTAAGCACAAATGAATCCCTTTGGAACATCCTTGCTACAAACATTAAGAAGTAAGCTAAGTGAAATAGGGATATTAAGGTTAATCCCCAAAATATTAGCCTTAAGTGCAGTGCAAAGACAAACAGCAGCTTCCAAATCCACAAGATTTCCAATAAGACTACAACATGGTTTCACAGGTGGAGTTCCAAGTGTTACATTTAACAAACCACTAAGCACATTAGCACAAACACCTAATTTCAAGGCATCTTTTGGGCATTTGCCTTCTTTTGAATAAGGAGGAGGGGGGCATGGCTTTGGCTTTGGTTTTGGTTTTGGCTTATGGCAAGTGTTGCATGCACTCACCACAGTGAAGAAAAGGATATTGAATAGAAGAAACAAGGCAAGTGACTTAGCCATCTTAATTACACTTAAAACTTTGTAATTAGCTAAAGAGATGATGAATAATTAAAATGATGGTTGGGTTTTTATAGGCTGCATGAATATGCAAGAAGATTAGAAGAATGATTAGAAAACATTCTTAACCCCATGTGTGTAAGCAAGGAATTTTAGCTGGTAGATCTTGGAGGTATAGTCAAGATGGAATTAAATTAATATAGGTAGACATGTTCCTTGTTTAATTAATTCCAACCTAGTATATTCTAAGCGATCGTTGGGTAGCTGGATAGAGTTATGCAGGTATTGTTTTGTTTCATCCCTAGGCCTCTATCAATGTTATCTATACACTGACACTACAACAAAAGAGATATTTAGTGGCGACAAATTTACTTTTTAGCAAGGAAAATTTATTGTCGCAATAACATTTAACAACAATTGGGTTAATTCCCTTGTATTCAGTGCCGCTAAAACCTTTAGTGATATTTATATAGAGTGTTGGTTATAAATACCTCATATTTATCATTGGCACTAAATATAATATAGCGATAATTATATTATTGCCGCTAAATCCTTTTATTTATTGCAGCAGGGTGTATAATATATTTTGAGTGTTAGTATATACTATATAGTAAGAAGTTGTTTTCTTTTTTCTAGGTTACTAGTCAATTAACTCTTTAGATAATTACTGGCATTTAACTTTAAATGACTTCATAGTGTAAATTAAATATTTCAATTGGAATCTCAAAACATGACAGGAAATTCCCATGGTACTAAAGTGTTTTACTCAAAAGGAAAGCAAAGGAAATATGTAATTATAATAAAGCCCTAGCCGATTCTCTTATATGGAATTTCTATTTTTAGAAGGGTAGCTTGGTGCACAAAATATCTTACGTTCACTTTTTAGAGTACGAAAACTAATATTAATGTTTGATTTCACGACTTGAACTTGTGATCTATAAATTGTACGATCATGGAATTTTATAGTTTAATAATCTAGTCACGGGCTTCAGAAGGAGCTAGCAAGTGGGCTTCATCGGTATTAATTAGATTAAGAATATTCTTTTCATGAATGTGGCCAAGATCACCCAGCTCAAATTATTGTCGTTGGCATAGTGTTTTCTTGTGTTTTATACCTACTAAACTAATCTTGTTAATTTATTTAAGAGAAAATTTTGGAAATAGCAAGCATAATTAAACACAATAAGGCTCTATATCTGTAGTTTTAATAATTGCGCTTTATAGCTATAATTTTGTTTGCTATAGAGGTTGTGTTAGTATATTTTTGTCCGTTTGTATATTTCGTTTGCGAATATACAAATAGGGTAAGTATATACAATTCTGTATTTATACATTTAGGAATTTTTCAGAACTTCGTTTGTATATTTCGCTTGCGAATATAAAAATAGGATAATTTATTATGAATTTTTCATAAATCGTAAACAAATAGCTAGGGTAAGCATCTACAAAATTCTGGATTTGTATAATCAGTAACCGAATTATACAAATTCTAAATTTATACAAATCAGGCGAACAACAAGAATAAAGAAAATTATAGCCGCGAATTATAATTTTCTTAAACTATAGCTATAATACATAATATAGGCTAAATGTTTGTTATTTTGCATAATTTTCCCAAAGGATAGTTGGGCATTCAGTGTTTATTGGGCCTAATTTCTGAGTTGGGGATGGGCAACGTTTAGCATAAAGGTAATATTGGTCGACAAAGTCAAATGTACAACTATACATGTACTGGACAATTTACATTCCCTAACAACAATGGACTTAAACTACATATGATTCTCCTGTAAGAATAGTGAATTTTTTTTCCATCAAGGATAGGATATAGTCTCCATTGAATTTTGAAACTAAGAATTCAGGATTCTCAACCACTTCATTGATCACTGGGCCACATTTTTGCTAGGGTGGGTTAAAGTACGTTGGTTGGATAATGGACTTGGACAATCCTCCCCTCATGACCTAGTTTTTGAGATTGAGTTAGGCTCAGGTGTCATATCTTACATGGTATCAGAGCCAAGTTCATCCCTGTTTGGACTCCCGGTCCACGCTCCAGTTGGGCTTGGACGTGAAGGGGGTTTTAGAGTAGGTTAAAGTCTCACATTGGTTGGAGATTGAAGTTATCATCTTCTTATATGAACTTGGATAATTCTCCGATGATGAGTTGGCTTTTAGGATTAAGTTAGATATAGGTGTCATATCTTAACGACCCTAGTCCAATAGGTACAAGTAGATCGAATCTGAAGTTAAGAAAGAATGACACAAACTACAAGGCCAATGGGAAGTCACGGGTGTATTTTCTGTACCTATTGTGCCTATTGGTCTGAGTTGTGATCCCTCCCCCCCCCCCCCCCCCAAAAAACAAAA